TGGCAAAGACGGTGGACCGACAGTAAAATAAATAATTTCAATGACGGATCGCTCCCGGCATGTTGTAGAGCAGGCACAGGATTAATATATGGAGACAAAGTGGGGGTAAGGGGGAGGAGGAAGGGGGCCGATGGAATATCATATCATGAATGTATGTTATGGAGYCAAATCCATTTTAAGATCTCAGGATTTCGGTTCATTCATCATATGTTTATTGGGCACAGGTTTGGGAGCATGGAGAATTGACAAGAAACACAATGTCATGATGTAAGTGAAACACAGAATCGAGATAATCTAATATGAAGAATCTTCACATGCATCTCTGGGTGACTGCATGCTATCATATTAAAAAAAATGGCGACCAATCACACTTTAATTATAACAAAGTATTTTGGCTATTGGCTATTGGCTATACTAAAGAGTGTGGATCCAGTTTCACGAAGGATGAATAGAGGAAGAAATAATTCTTTAAAAAAACTTTATCAGATCCTCGTAGAACCATAGATATAAAAATAGAATTGTTTGTGTTTTYAGCAATTTTGTGCAAGAGCTTGGTATAACCCAGAGAGAATGGAGCTTCGTAGAWCCAAGTTTAATCGAATCAAGAGGCGTCAAAGCGAACAATCATGAAGACATCAAGAAAGCCTACCCAACCCTCAAGCAACATCCACTCTTCGGCAAGATGACAAGCAGTCAGCTTCTTAGCCATGCATGCAAACCTGAATTTGTGGCAAATGCSGACGCCTATGCAACAGTTGATACATACTTTTCTAATCTGATCACACCCGAGGGTGCCGAGTACCTTTCCGAGTTATATGGCTACAAAGGTGATTACACGGACTTCATCAGTCCAAAATCGTACATGGAATTCACAGAAATGACCCTTAAGCTGTCGGATAAATACTTTAGGCCAACAGGTGGAATGTCAACTATCATTAGTACCTTRAAAAAGAAAGTCGAGTCYATGGGAGGGAAAATCTTCACGAGYACWGGTATCAAAGGGATGATACARGAAGGAGGTGTTTAYGTTTCAYTGACACCAAACCTAAGAGTAAGATCTAAAAAGCTTGTAGTAGCTGTCCCTCCACTGCACTTCCGAAAAGTGAACGGTACCATTGCAAAGAAGATTCAAAGAACAGCACAGTTTGATTCAATTCAGCCAATCCCAGCCTTCAAAGGGGCAGCAGTTTACTCTAACGCTTGGTGGGAGAAAGTATATATTGGAGGATCACCCGTTAAACCTGGACAGAAATTCATCTCGCAGAGTAATTGTCTTGGAATAAGCATGGCTCACAGGTAATGATGCGTTATCGTGTAAACATCCAASGTATTATTATGATCCGGGCGAAAGGGGCACAATGGATCAATCGAGTGATTACCATGTATGTTCAAACATTTTTTAGTGCCCCAGTGTCACTCTCCATGCATGCATCCATTCGCATGAATGTCTGTACGAGTATTTTACGTCATGGTAAAATTAACAGCAAGATTTTCACAATCTTTATTAACGTGTGAACGTTGTAAAGTCGTAGCTACCAAAAGGTCATACAACTGTCCTAGGTTTGAAAAAAAAAAAGACCAGGGGAATGAGTCAGGTTTATCTCTCAAGTGCTTCTGGGATCGTTACTAGTGACGCGAATTTGTTTTTAAATAGTGATACAATCGGTGTTTATAATTGCGACATGTCAGAATTTCTATTTAAAACCGAGTGTTTTTCGTTGAATGAAGACGAATTCCTGGAGCAAAGCTTCCAAAGCCAATCGATGAGTCTACATGTTCCATTTTACGCAGATGGCTGCTTTGCTAGTCATGAATTTTGCCGTGGAGAATGCTAAAGTGTAAGCACTTTCAATGCAATCCAACAATATTCTTTATTCATCTTTATTCGTACAGAGGAAAAGGAACCAAAGGTGAAGGTGTTCTTCACACCATGTACGCTGACGGTGCCTGCAGCAGACGATGGAGAGACATCTCTAACCTCAAGAAGAACTTTTTGAACGCTGAAGTTCATCGTGCTTTGGAAACAAAGTTTGGGACAAAAATCCCGGCGCCATTGGACACTGCGTATCAGTATTGGGACTCAGCTTGGTAAGAACTATACACACTTATTTATCAATGAAAACTTGAGATCATTGAGATCATACAATTGACTACTTCTTTTTGACAAATCTACGCTTCTAATACTTTGCTAGTTTGGAGGTTTATTTAAATGTACACATAG